CCCCTGGCCTACCTGCAGTCCAGACCTGTCCCCCATTGAAAATGTGTGGCGCATTATGAAACTTAAAATACAACGGAGACCCCGGACTGTTGAACAACTTAAGCTGTACATCAAGCAAGAATGGGGAAGAATTCCACCTGAAAAGCTTCAAAAATTGGTCTCCTCAGTTCCCAAACGTTTACTGAGTGTTGTTAAAAAGAAAGGCGATGTAACACAGTGGTAAAAATGTCCCTGTGCCACCTTTTTTGCAATGTATTGCTGTCATTAAATTCTAAGTTAATGGTTATTTGCAAAACAAAATAAAGTTTCTCCGTTCGGACATTTAATATATTGTCTTTGCATTCTATTCAGCTGAATATGGGTTGAAAAAGATTTGCAAGTCATTGTATTTTGTTTTTATTTACGATTTACACAACATGCCAACTTTTCTGGTTTTGGGGTTTGTACATATGCTTTGAAAGTTTACACAACAGAGTCTCATTATTGTTAACAGAAAACMTTTGTTAAATACATTTGTGAATTTTATAGTGAATAAATCAGTATTTTTTCTACTCGGATTTTGTTTTTTTTTTGTGTGATATTTTGGTCCACTGTGATAAAAAAAAACTGTGTCAAAATGAAACAAGCACTCTAAAATCATAAAGCTGAGGCTGTGCTGAAAATAATGATACCAAACGTGGCAAGGTAAACAGTTTTTAAAGTGAAAATATAGAGGTCAATTCAAACGTAGTCAAAAACAGCCATTTAGACCCCAGACCTTAGAGCAGTGTTTCCCAAAGWTGGGGTCGGGACCCAAAGTGGGGTCCTGAAAAGATTTTCTAAATTAATTACGTTTTGCTTTAGTTGCCTAAAATGTATAAATGTAGAATAATTAATATTGTTACTAAGCCCACGTATTGTTGACCTGATTCAAATGTTTATCATCCAAAAATAGGTGGGAGCACAGGTCTCTGCTACTGTTATTTTGTGGGTCAAAAGCTGAAAAGTTTGGGAACCACTGCACTTCAGAAATCAGTTTAAAGGGTAATAAAATAATTGGTGATGTAATATTTTCACTATAATTATTAAAAAAGTAAAAAATAGTATAAATACGTATTTATATTTGTTTTTAGGGTTATTAACGAGGTTCATGCACTGAGACCAGTAATATTTGGGGTCACAAGTTTTTGCCATGAATATTTTGTGGGTCAGAAGATAAAAAGTTTGGGAACCACTGCCTTACAGGGTTAATCTCAACCCTATCCTAGATTACATAATGAAAATAGCAAGTCCTCCCACTTTCAATTGTGGTGTTTTATGCACCGAGACGTAATAAAAATAAAAATGATCTGGTCATTATCAGGTTCTAAAAAACATTTCAAATATAACCTCAAGTCAGAACTTCAAGCAGATTTTTAATTACAGCAGTTTTTGTCCCTGCAGTTCTCCATTTCTCCTGCTAGTTATTCAATAAATTCCTTTCTCAACTAAACAAACCAATCATTAATCTGTTGAACATTTATACAGGTTTTTAAACAAAACCTTTAAATTGTTAACAAAACACTTCCTCACCAAATGTCCTTCACCAACGCGTGCTGGGAGTCTTCTGCCGTGAAACTTTGGTCTGTTAGCAGTTGGGTGGGGGAGTTTCTCCGAGGTCAACGACAACTCATCAAAAACCTTCAGATCAGCTGAAAACAGAGGAAAGGTTTAGAAAAAGAAAAGACCAAGAGAGCATTTCAGCTGGATGTTGACTTAAAAAAAACATCGAAGGGGTGAAGTGACATCTATTTGTTTTTATTTAATTTGTGAGCATCCTAGCTTGGAGATGGACTATTTCCTGCTTTTAATGAAACCAGTAAGCTCAGCAGCAGAAAATAGCAATTTGTAACACATTCTGAAGTGTGAAATGGTTTTACACTGTGCAAAATGGACAAAATATATGAATCTAAGAAGGCTGCTACAAAACAAAAACAAAAGTGAAGATTTAGTGATAAAGCATTTTTAGATATTTTTTAATACAATCTGCACTTTAAGGCGTCCTGGTGTTAAAGAGAAAATTTCATTTAATTAAATGGATGTTTTCTCAGAACGTCACGCCATCTTATCAAGATTTCATCAAAATACAGATGTGGTTTCCTCTCTGAAGTCTTGTGTAAAAGCCAACAGTATAAAATCACCTGTAGCTTACTTATTGTTCAAAACATTTTTATGTAATTACTGGCTAAAACAAGCAAATTAATTCAGTTTCTACTGCCAAAACAGGTACTCAGAGATGTTCTTACAGAATTAGAATCACGTCAGATAATCACAGAACTACAAGCTACCTAACAACATGCTGCAGTTTTGCGTAACCATTTCTGACAAGCATAACTGAGATAATTTGGTCACACAATGATTTTTGGTTAAAACAGATATAAAAGGACCGAGAAAGACACAAACTCTTCAGTCTCATCTTTCCTGGATAGACTGGACACAGCTCACTATTTCTTTACAGAGTTAAACATCATTGCTTCTTCTGACAGAGAGCTAATTTCATCTTCACTGTCAAAGGTTTTAGGCCATTCTCGAAGTCAGCGTAATGTCATTCAGTCACGTTGATTTCCACCTCCATTTTTTATGGGCGGAAACTGCAGCTGGAGGGAGCAGGAAACACGTAATCTTGTAAAAAAAACACCGCTGTCCATCGTCAGTCTCATCTTTCTCTTAAACCGAAAAAAATATAACCCCTCAGACCTCCTTTTTGACTGAGGCTCAAACTTATCTGACAAGCAGTGAAAAATCTACAGGAAGAAGAAAATAAAAAGAGGTGAAATTTGAATGGAGACTGGCGACAATGAAGAGCCGGTGAGAGCAGGACTTTATTAATTAGATCTGTGACTTTTAACATGTTTGGATTTTATAGTTAGTGTGTAGTTTTGAGTGTTTACTCTTCATGAGGCAGTTCTTTTTAAACAAGAAGAAGCACAGAGGTCTGCAGAGGCAGAACAACAACATCTTTTTTCTCTCTTTTCTCACTCTTGCAGTTAGAAAAATTTTTTTTTTATCTCTGGATGTTTTTTCACGTGAGAAGTGCAGTCCTACAGCAACTTTTCACCATTTTTTCCTATTTTCCACATAAAGGAAGTCATCCTATTTCCCCCCAAACCAATATGTCAGCCTCCAAAAAGTACCCGGCTGTTCCACTTTGAGAATGCATGCTGCTGAAACCCTTCAGTCCTGTAGTTGAACTTTTCTCTACTTTATGTCCTGATGCATCTCAGTAATCCAGGTAAAAAATCAAAGGAAAAAAAAATTGTATAGGTCTTCTGGACGGGTTCTTCTTTAATGAAACGATGGTCATGTGATGTGAGTATCAGTCACCTGGAGGCAGGACTCAAAAGCCTGAATTTTGCCTGAAACTCTCAGACTGAAGAAGTCTCTTGGAAGAGAGACGAAAGGTTTCATTAAAGAAGAACCCGTCCAGAGGACCTATACAACTTTTTTTCCTTTTATCTCTACTTTAGTTTATTACAGTTTTGGGTAAATTGATCAACATTCAGAGAGCTTTGAAAAAATATTAATTAAGCTGTGAAAGGACAGAAAATCAAATATAGTTTTCCTAATATTCATTACAATGTATTTGTCCTACAACTTGAAGTTTATGTGCAGAAATAAAAAAAGGTAAACTGAAAACAGCATGAATTTCTCTGAGGTTCACTGAAATCTTTCAGCAGCTGTGGTGGAGCAGCACTTCACGCCTTCTGAGAACAGAGCTGTAGGTGCAAACAGCTCAGCTCAAACTGTAGAAAAGATTATATTTTCATGTTTGTTGGGAAAGTGTGACAGACAAAATCCTGTAAAAATGGGCCAGTCTTTTAGCACCTTCACAAACAGCTTGTCACAACAAAGGATCTGTTAGGGAGGGCGGGCCTTCAGGTCTCCTCTATTCATCCACCTCTGGATTAAAATGCTTGGTTTTATTATTTTATTTTCAAAATAAAATGCTCCAGATCTTGTGTCAGTGAAAGAAAATGACCTGACTGTATAATTCTGGGCTGTTAGAGTGACTCTTTGTGTACAAACCTGGCTCTGCGGGCTTTTCTGGTGCATCTACTATTGGTGTTTTGGGTACCGGGGATGGTACTGGCTCTACGTCAGACTTTAGTCGTGTGGAAGGCACCTCTCCATTTTGTCTGTAGTAACAAAATAAGAAAGAAAAAATAGAGTAAGGGGGGAACAGTTTATAGTTGAATAGAGTGAATAAACGGTCTTTGATGTGGGCTGCAAACACTACTACAGGCTGAAGTAATTCACACACAAGAAAATCTGACAATAACAAAATCATCATTCACAGTATAATTCTGTTTGTACCAAACAGCAGAGTGTGGAGCTGATAACTAAATGTACTGCATCAGCTACAACAGATTCTTAATCTATGGGCCACGGCCCACAATTGGACCATCAGCGCCACCCTGAGGCCCTCAAAAGAACAGCAGTTTTTAACTTTGAGCCGCAGAGGGCCGTGGGACCGCATTGATTTTGAATAAGGTGCAATACACTTTCTAACCACTAGTAGCAGTAGTGCACCACTCAG